CCTTTTCATGATAAACCATATGATGTTGGTTTGGCTTTAAGTATTTTACAAGGTCTTAGAGAGACACCCATTCATGATACACCCGAGAATATATAAGAATTTATACTGGTAAATACAATTTAAACTATGACTTATAAATAATGTTGTTTTAATTAATTAAAGACATTCTTTTTTTTGTAGATTGTTGGAATATTGAACCTGATAATCTTCCAACTATCAATCAAGTAGTTGATGAATTAAAAGTACTAGTACTTAAAACAAAAGACAATATAATCAAAGATTTTAACTTAAATGATAATAATAAGGATATACAATCATCAACCAATCAGCAGCCAATTTTAAATGTTGAAATTTCAGAAAATATTGATTCATTACATGGTGATTTATCTCAAGTTATTCAAAATTTTAACTTGACGAATATAGATGATGTAGAAACTTCGATTTCATCAAATAATGATAATAACAAGGATATTCAATCATCAACCAATCAGCAGCCAATTTTAAATGTTGAAATTTCTGAAAATATTGATTCATTACATGGTGATTTATCTCAAGTTATTCAAAATTTTAATATTATGATGAATACAGATGATATAGAAACTTCAATTTCATCAAATAATATATCTGAGAATAACTTTAATATGATAATGAATGATATAATTAATCTTTCTGATGAATATGATGATAATGAAATAAAAAAACAGAAAATCTCAATTTATCTTAATAGTCATGATATAACTTTGCATGAGATTAATAATTTAAGTAATCAGGATGATTCAAATTCTATTGTTTTACTTGGAATAATTAGTTATTTAGGAATTAATACCAATGTTGATAAGAAAAAAGCATTTGAACTATTTCAAAAGGCAGCAGAATTGGGAAATTCATCTGGAATATATAATGTAGGATATTGTTATATGAAGGGATATGGGACTAAAACTGATGGGAAAAAGGCATTTGAATCATATCAAAAGATAGCGAATTTAGGAAATGCATTTGGAATGAATAATTTAGGATATTGTTATGAGAATGGAATTGGAACTGATATTGATAAGCAAAAAGTATTTGGAATATATCAAAAAGCAGCAGATTTAGGAAATTTATTTGGGATAAATAATTTAGGACTTGTTATGAGAATGGTGTTGGAACTGATATTGATAAGAAAAAAGCATTTGAATTGTATCAAAAGGCAACAGACCTAGATAATTCATTTGGAATAAATAATTTAGGACATTGTTATGAGAATGGTATTGGAACTGATATTGATAAGAAAAGAGCACTTGCATTGTATCAAAAAGCAGCATATTTAGGAAATTCATTTGGAATAAACAATTTAGGAGAATGGTATTGGAAATATGAAAAATGCATTTGAATTATATCAAAAAGCAGCAGATTTAGGAAATTCATTTGGAATAAATAATTTAGGACGTTGTTATGAGAATGGTATTGGAACTGATATTGATAAGGAAAAAGCACTTGAATTATATCGAAAGGCAGCAGATTTAGGAAATTTACTTGGAGTAAACAATGTGGGACGTTGTTATAAGAATGGTATTGGAACTGATGTTGATATGAAAAAAGCAATTGAATCATATCTAAAAGCAGCTGATTCAAAATATGCACTTGGATTGTTATTGTTATTATTATGTTATCTTATTTTATTTTTGTAAATAATCTAGGATGTTTCTATTGATATTGGAATTGGAACCAAAAAACTACTATATAGTTATTATTTTTTTTTCTAAAATTCTTTATCATTTACAATTTATAATACACAAGCAATCATGATAAATTTGATTGGTTAGTTTTAGAGAAAATATCAAGATATCTTATATATATCATAAATCTTTTTTACTAAGTTTTATATAAAAATTGCATTAGAATCATTTGTATCAAGATTTACAGAAAAAATAAGACATTTTAAATTTAATTAAAGGCTTAAAATAAAAATGTTTTTAAAGTATTACATAAAGGATTTTGGTTAAGAATTAATTAAGCTTTTCCTAAAAAATTATGATATCTGATATTAAATCGGATATATGAAAGTTAATGTCTAGATATCATTCAATATGATTGTCGGAGACATAAACTGTTAGTAAATTTAATAATTTTTGACAATTTTTTTATCTGTCTTCGGAAATTCAATTTTTTATAAAAAATCGCAAACTGGAAATTAGTATTTTCAGGGCCAAAATTAAGATGATGTCAGTCAGTTTCTAAAAAAAGGTAATAAAATTTGACCGATTTGTCCTTAAAAGGCAAGATCTACATGATTATTTTGCACCATACGGCCCATACGCTCGGGGCCCTAGTCAGCTTCACGTTTGTTTTTATTGGTATCAGGACTTTTCACCGAAGTTTATTTCACCGAAATCCATTTCGCCGAAGCAATTTCGCTGAAGGAATGTTTCACCGAAGTGGCATTTCACTGAATGCCATTTCCCTGAATGGACCTTTTACCGAATGGCCATTTCGCCGAAGGACATTTCGCCGAAGGATATGAAATTTTTCAGTTTTCCTTTTCTTTTTTATAAGACAAACGAATTGTTTACACATTACAAGTTGCGTTTGTTTATTTTATTTTAATTACAGTAGAGGAAAATTAATTTTATTTAGTAATTTCATCTTACTCACCAATTTTACGAAACATTTTGTATTGATTAAGGAATTGTGTTAATCACCAATATTTTCAGCGAAATGTCCTTCGACAAAGGGGAAAAGGATTCGTCGAAATGTCTATTCGACAAAACGCCCATTCGACGAAATATCACTTCGGCGAAACTTCCCTCATGCGAAATGATTTCGGCAAAATGGGTTTCAGCGAAACAGACTTCGGCAAAACGTACCGTAATCGTTTTTATTATAATTAATGAGAATCATGTTGTAAACTCTAATATATCTTGTGGATAGTTAATAACATTGCACGATATGCATGCTGTTTCCCACGAAGATAATGCAACGAAACGATGAGCAATTAACATTTCTTCTGGTAATATCACCTGTCCGTATTATTTTCTTTAAAATTGAACTTTTAATTGTTAAAAAATTTTCTTTTTTTCTCTTTTTACTCTTTAGGTTTGGCGGTACCTTTGGAATGGAGGTTGATTTTGTTATTTTTTGTACTTTGTTTCCTTTTAGTTTTCGTTGTTAATGCGATCCTTTTTGAAAAATGAAAATAGAGGTTGGTTTCAGCGATGCTTTCCATTCTTTTGCCCTCGCTCTCTGTAAAATTTCAAAATGGCTAGTAAAAGAAAAATAACAACAAAAACAATAACAAGAAAAAAAGCTAATTTCTATTTCCTTTTTGTTTAGGTTTCAGATAGTGAGTTTTATGAAATTACGCTTCCGTTGCAGCTTTTATTTTATTTTTCTTTTTACTAGTTTCTTTTGATAACAAAAAAAAATCGTCTTTGGATAAAAATATGAGATAATTAATAATACTTTTTTAAGCAAACATAAAATTCACCATTTATTAATCACTTTCTTAGCAATTTGACATTAAGGTTTAAAACTTTTTTGTTTAGTTAGCTTCTATTTTATTTGTGATTTTATTTTATTTTATTTTGTTTCATTATATTTTATGGATAAATCTAATTGTAACAGCCTGTTACGCATCTTATTTGTAACAACCCCAATTTTATCCAATTAAAATTTAAGATCAGGCGTAATGTAAACAAAAACAAAAGATCAGTCGTGTAACCAAGACAAAAGAATTTTTTAAAAAATTTCAAGAAACTGCTTATAACTTAAAATTTTGTCTATGAAACTGTCTTAAATACATTAAGTAAAAGTTTTCCAAATTAAATTTTGCATATAAAAATTTTATTTTTAAACCACATACTAAATTTATTATTAAAAAAAATAAAAAAAGGATGTTACAAATAAGATATGTAACAGGCTGTTACAAATACATTTATTCATATTTTATTTTATATTGATTTTATTTAGAAATTTTTAATATATTTTAATTTATAATTCAATAAATATAACAAAATCTTATATATTTCTAATTATCTGCACGTATTGTATTTCATATGACAAATTGATAAATTAAAAAAAAAATTAAAAATCAGTCAAAAAAAAATTGGTTGCAATTTTAGCAAAAAATTAGGGCTATAATTAAAACAAATTTCGTCCAATATTCGCCAATTCGAAATTTGGGATGATCAAGGTGAAGATAATAATGTAAACAAAATTTCTTTTTTAACCAAAAATTTTATAGAAGCCAAAAGATCGCCATCACCATAATCAATAAACACATGATTCTCGAGAGTGAATAGCGAAGGTGATGATTATATATGATAACAAAAAGATAATAGCTGAAAAGATTCGAAGTAAATAATTTTTTATATTTTTATAAAATTTCCTCAAAGACGGCACATGACTGGCGTGCGATTAAGCGCCGATCAAGTGTATCCCAATTTAACAATAGACTTTGTAGTAACACTACGAAATATTTTCCTACACGTAAAACGATATGATAACTATTTCTTTAGGAGAGAAATCAAAAATTAATTTTTTTAATATTATTAGTTCGCACTGGCAATTTTTTTTATAACGGAATACATATTACTAATATTTGCGATAATTATTACGAGATATTATAATAATATTATGTTTATAAAAGAATTGAAAAAGTAATATAAAATTTTTTAAAAAAATACTGGTTTGAGTTGTATTCTGATCGTCGGATCCCATTATGTATACCGTCTTTTTGTTTTGTTCGCTTACGGACCGTTTCCTAACAGGACATTTTCCTAACAGCCTAAAGCTGGCCGTTTGATCACCACGTGATCGTCCATAACTCTGCATAACTCTGGCCAAACCTGTCGGGCAATCATCCGTCGGGAAATCGTGCCGTAACCTTGTTGTTATATTTTGATATGGATTTCTCTTATAAAGAATTTTCAATTAAAGATAATTGTTTAACAACTCAGTTATGTAAAATGATTTTTTTTAAAATCAAACGTAATGAATATATTCACTGTACATTATCACTTTAAAATTAAATGAATTATGACAATTTATTGAAATAATGTAGGTAGTAACAAAGAAAATAATAATATAGTAATATATATTGTATAGATAATAAATTTAAGATTTAACTATAGACACATCTAATCCAAGATATGGATCAACTTTTGGTGTAGGGAAAGCTCTTCTCCTAATTTGAAATCCTTCAATTGGTTTGAAAACGAAATTCATAATTAACATGGCCAACATTATTTTAGCTTCAGCTGAAGCTACTTTATTACCTATGCAACCTCTTGCACCATTAAGGAAAGGTAAATAATTATAATTGTTTATCTTCTTCATTAAAGCAGGATCTAACCATCTACTTGGATCAAATTCCTCAGCCGTTGGACCCCAAATTTCAGCCGATTTTTGAATTGCTAAAATTCCAACATGTATTTCAGTACCCTATAAAAGATAAAAAAAAAATTTAGTAAGTATTTTAAAAAATTATTTTATTTATCAAAGGATATATATATTATATAATAGCATGCCTTTGGAATAAGATATTTTCCAAAAAATTCATCTTTAAGGTTAAGTCGTTTAGAGGTTGGTACTAAAGTAATAAAACCGCTAAATTAGTATAGTTTTTGATGTGCTAAAAACAGTTTAAATTAACTATGTACCTGGAGTGGCTATTCTTAAAGTTTCTTTAAGTACGCAATTTAAAAACTCCAAAGAATGTATTTCATCATATGTGGGATTGAATTTTGATTTATCAGGATAAGCTTTAACTAATTCCTCACGTAATAAATCTTGATAATGTGGATGATGTGCGAGTAAATATAAAGCCCAAGAAGTTGTAACGCTTGTAGTTTCATGTCCTGCTACTAAAAATGTCATAATCTGAAATATTTCAAAATATAGGTTAAATAAATAAAAAATTAATAAACTAAAAAATAAATAATAATAAGCAATTATTCTTTAATTACTTGATTTCTTAATTCATCATAAGTCAATTTTTCTTCTTCGGGTAAAGTTTTATTGTTATTAATTAATAATGACAACAAATCCTTACTTTTCAAGTCTCCACTTTCGGCTTCTTTATATTTTGCATCAATCAATTTCTGTGATTCGCGGTGTATAACATCACACGCTTCTTTATATCTCAAATTTACACCGAATGGAATATGTCTGACAAATGAGATATAACTTGATAACATTATAATGGTAGCGTGTAACATATCGGGAGTGGTATTGAAAACACCATCGTATGCTACTGCCAATTCGTTTGGGGATGTTAACGAATTGAATTCATAACTAAATCCTATAAAAAAAAAAACAGAATTTTCAGACTCCTATTATAAAACGCGTCCAATATTTTATTTATTTTTTTTTTCTTTCTCTCACCTACTAAACCGATAATATCCAAAGTAGTCTTTGATATATAAGGTGTAAGATTAACGTTAGAATTTCCTTGGCTTAACTCTTTTTTGATTAAGTCTATTAAAGTATTGGTTACACGAATAAAATCTGGAACCATTCCCTAAATTAATTAATTATATTTAATATTAACCTTGGTTTAAAATTAAAATTTTAATTTTCCACAATAAAGTATAATTACTTTGATGTTACTATGAGAGAAAGCTGGATTCATCATTTTTCTTTGTCTTTTATGAACGTCACCTTCCGCAAATACAAGTCCTTTACCGAGAAGTGCAATAGCAGGCTTATTATTACTGTAAGGTTTAATGAAATCATAGCTTTTACTCAACGTTATTTCTTGAATTATTTTTGGGTCGGCAACAAAAACTGCTGGTTTGTTAAATATTCCGTAGTATTTTACTATATTTCCGTATTTTTTATACCATTTAAATTGTGGTTCAACAAAACCGTCAGCCTATCGTAGCGAAAAAAATAGAAAAATACTTGTTAATAATAAAAATTGATTATTAAGTTAAAAATATGAACAATTCGTTACCTCTCCTGATAACAATGCTTTAACATTTCCGTAAATTAGACTATCAGGTGGTGGACCAGGAATCTTTCTCAAAGGAGAAACAAAAAATGGCCAAATAAGAATTTTATAGGTAAGCCATCCTATAGATCCTAATACAAAAAGGCTTGCTAAATTAATCGGATCAGAAAGCATTTTTTATATTTTTTGTTAAATAAACTTTATTAACTTTATTAAATAATTAGTTAGGGAAAACGCGCTGTTATTTATATTTTTGATTTCGGTAAAACCTCAGGACCGGGATAATAGCATCCAGTCAATCATTCGCAACCTCCGAAATTTTTTTACATTTTGAGTAACAAAATGAATTACCATATTTGTTACTCATGAGATCATGTGTGAACATCTTGTGATATTGAGTCAACTGAGCCAATAGTACATGAGCGGAAATTATTATCAAAAGGTAAATGGAATCACAAATAGCCAGAAATATATACAAAATTTTTTTTTACCAATTATTGTTTATATTAATTTATATCTTTACCTTCTTTGTAATATTTGAAGAAATTAAAGAAAGTTCTTTTATACGAAAAATTCATAAAACAAATAATTCGCAATTGGAAAGATTCTCGTTGATCTTACTTAATTTTTATACGCATTGGATTTGTAGGGAGAACTTTTTTTTAACTTCAAATTTGAGGGGTGGGGAATATGTTTTGTAGTTAAGAAGAGCAGTCCTAGCCCATATGGTAATAATTCTAATTGCCAGATAAAAAAATATCATAATAAAATTTAACGTAAGTGTCAATTTCAGCTCATTTAAAATTTGCGATTTTGAAGATATCCACATGATTGTTAAGGAGAGGTGGGTAATATGTAAACGTCAGTTTGTATTACAACGGGATTCTTACTGTTGGGATTTTGAATGATATCTCGGACTAGCTATATAGGTACTATTGAATGAAAAAATTTTAATTTATATATATTTTTATGCATATTTTTTTTTAAAAAAATCTATATATATTTTTGCATACTTTTTTTTTTAGGTTTAGAGCCTTATGGGATCGATATAAGGCCGATGGGCTTATATCGGTCCGGTCCAAAATTAGTCTAGCGGTCCCGATGATCCGGATCGGACCGTTAATATCCCAAATTGGTACCACCCAAAATCCCGAAATCATAATCCCGAAAATCCACTATCTCGAAAACTAGAACATTTATCCCTCGAATTTTAATATTCCCGAAATTCATTACCCGGCAATCACTATTGTTTATGACTCATGTGAATTTTCGGAATTTTTATTTTTATTTTTATTTTTAGTAGAGAGGCAAGAATAGAAGAGCATGCAAAGATATAGCCGAAGAGCTATCTTAGTGGTATTAAAATAAACTATACGTTTGGTTACTACCTAACCCACGAACCTAAAATAGGTTTGACCGGCTTGTCAAGAAAGCGGAGCCATATAAGAAGAAAGGGAGCTAATTTTCGAGATTTCGCAGTCAGTAAAGTTAGTCATGTGACTTGATGATTATATGAAAATTTACAAAAAGCCACCCGTGTGGCAGTTATAAGAAGTATAATTATACTTGAATAAATTACGCTAGGCATAAGTGCATAACTTATATAATTAATACAGTGGGGGATCAGGCAAGACAAATAGCATGATATTGCAGATCGCAATATCGTTTCTTTTTATTTCTTTATTTATTCTTATTTATTATTTAATTAATTTATTTAATTCGTATTTATTCATTGATCAATGATACATTCATTTTCATCGTGTGGCTCGGTCGAGCTTATGTTGATCATTTAAGAAATACAGTACAACTTAACGTAATTGTAAATAATTTTTTGTTTATAAATGTCATTCATTATTATTATTAAACAAATTTTTAAATTATAAAGTCTTTACGTAATATTTCTCTTCATAATACCTCCACAAACTACATGAATTTAGGAAGTAGTATTATTAATGAGAGTGGAAAACATTTTACAATCTGACTTCTTTTTTAACAATGGAAGCAAAAGGTCGAACATATTTTAATCGGTATATATAAATAAATAACGAAATAGATGTCAAAAATTATATGAATGTTAATTTTTTTTTAGCAATTGTAAAAGTAGCAACACCAATTTCTAATTTGCCCAAGTAATAAACATATCGGCCAATCTCAATATAAAATTCTTGGCGGTGATCAATATGTCACTATTGTACATTATCTGCCAATCTCAATACAAAATTCTTTTGGCAGTGATCATCAATATGTCAACTATTGTACATTGTCTTTGTGCGTATACAGTGTATTCATATAAATAGTTTCATACCTAGTTTATGTGAAATTGGTTTGCGCGTAAAAAATAACTTACATAAAATATTTAGTCAATAAAACGTACGTGGATATCAATCACTAATATTTGCGTTCTTACAGTACCCAGTACAGTACTATAACATTTAATTTGATTTTGAAATAATAAAAATATGGGAAATAAAAATGATCGGCAGATTATCTGGCCATCCCTTTAGTACAGTTTTTTTTTTTGTAAATCTTTTTAACTAGAAATGCTTTTATTAGCAGGGGACTTAAACGATAAACCTTGAATCATGTGAATATTTGATCAAAAAAATAACTTACGATTATCAAATTTTGTTTTATAAAATTTTAAAATAATTTTTGATTTTAACAAGAAAATTGTAGTTTAGAGTATGGTTTTAAATTGTCCAAAATTAAAAAACAAAAAAAGTCAATATTTTATTATTTTCAAGAGTTAAAAGGTAAAAAAAGGCAAAGAGCAAGGCTAATTATTCTAAATACTTTAGAAAATAATGTTGACATTGAAGTTTCGACCGGTTAAATTATTTGCTATTAAGATCATCAATTATTTCATTAAATTATCCGGTAAACTTATCCCATGTAATATTAATATACTCGAGATAATTTAAATAAATGTATAAAAATTGTAGCTGATATCTTAATTAGGCGACACAAAGTGGTAAAAATGGTTTTCATAGTCCGGCCGGTTCAGTTTTGTTACAGCAAATTTCAAAATATACGGGACACTTGAGAAATTTGATTGTCGGGTGGTCGGGTAGCCGGGTTACTCGGCAGTAGGTTATTATATAATCTGATATACTACTATTCATTATACTCGTCACGTGTTATTTATACTTTTAACCTACTGCCGAGTAACCCGGCTACCCGACAACCCGACAATCAAATTTCTCAAGTGTCCCGTATATTTTGAAATTTGCTGTAAGTCTTAAAAAAAAAATTTTTTATATTATTACTATGCCGGGTGAGAATTTTTTAAAAATTGAAAAAAAATTTCGCATATAAAATTTTTGAAAAAAAAAATTAAAAGCCGGGTTGCCGGGTTATTGATGAAATTTTTATATTATGAAAACCATAAAATCAAGTTTGTATGGCCTTATAAATAAGAAAATTCATTGTTAAATGGTAGGGGCTAACTATTTTTAATAAGAATTGAGCAAGTGATTTAAATTAAATATGTTTTTGAAACAATTATATGATTTACGTACAAATAATTATCGCGAAACCATTATTCTCCTTCGAATAAACATTTTGGCAAAGTTAGGCATCAATCATATGGTGCAGAGGCTAGTGACCATTTAAGCATGAAATTACTACCAGCTAATGACATGTTATTAATTAGAAGTTTATAATAATGAGTTTATAATAATGACATGAATGAGAACAAATAATATAAAGAAGCTTACCTTAAATTGGAAGATCAATTCTACACGAGTAGTAAACTTTTTATTTATATCATTAAAATACTGTATTAATTAATATTTTATGATGGAACGAACTTATCTAAACGAAAGAAAGACTAACTAATGACTAATTTGATAATAAACATAGGGTTTGGATCCGTTATCCGGATATCCCACGGATACACCGGGTTTATATCCGTTTAATCCGGATATAAGTTTATCCTCGGATCATTTCAATCCGGATCCCCTGGGCCATATTTATAGTGCCGGCCAGAATGAATAATAATTCTGGCCGGAATTATAAATTTGGCCCGAATTAATCGGATAGCGCGGATAAATTATCCGGATATCCGGATTAACAGATCCAGTGTGGGATGTATATTTTTTGATTATAAAATTATTTCAAGATTTCGACTTTATATATTAATATACTATGCAGTTCGTTGAACTTTCTTTTGCATTTGGCACTTGAAATAATTTGAAATTAAGGCGCAATAAGAGTGAGGCGCTGCCAATAAATTTTTCGGTGAAATGGCAATTCGATGAAATGGAGAAGGCAAATTTTCATGTCGTAAAATGGAAGTCAGCAAAATGGCGTCGGTTAATTTCATGTTGGTAAAATGGTTGTCTGTAAATTGTATTGTAGCCTATAATAAATAAGCGATATTACAAAATTAAATAAGTTTTTTTTTTACTATATTAAACCTGAAAAACTTCATAATCATCTACTTCCCATCGGAATTCCAGTATCAGAACATAAATGTAGAACAATTATCAAAATTCCACACGGTACCATCATTACAAGGAAATGGTAACCTATAGTTTGTATACCTATACCATTACTATAACTTACTTTCCTATCTGTAAATGAATTATCTGTCGTGTACTTATAAGATTTAACAACTAAATGGATTGTATCACCCAATAATTTGTTTCGATCCCTTAATTTTTATTATAATTATAGTATCTCCTATATCATTTTAATTTAATTTACAACGCCTGAAACATTTCATAAATATTGTGATAATAAAGAATATTTTTTAGACTATGATATTTATAAATGAATCGTTTTTCTTTTCGATCCAACTTAGAAAAAATAGCAAATTGTTGATATTTAATACTGTCTCAATTTATAATATATCAATCATAGATTCATAAATTGGGTTACATACGTGGATCGCGTGATGATTGACAAGGCCATTCCAAATTAATTTTTAGTTTAATGATCTCCACCCCTCCTCTTGGTAAGACGAAAAGGAGTGGTGTCGAGTTAACCAAAAAAGTATAGTATGATGTAAAATCAACATTTAGATACTCAACTCTAATAGTGTATATTATCAAACGAAAAAGTATTGTATTTATAATTATACTAAATTGCTATATTAAGTTAAAATTGAAGAAAAATTTTATTGTGAATTTTTTATAATTATACTAATTCTTAATTAGCCAATTTCAATTGACGCTCCTTTTAGCGAAATATTATTCTATATACGCGAAAAATAATATTTCTTTTACGTGGAATGAGAAAGACTTTTTTTTGACTTTATTATCTATTATCAAATCAGTTGCAGAAGAGTTTAATAAATTATAAATTATACAATAATTATTTACTATACATACGCAGCAGTAGTATTTTACAAATCATATTGTTGAGTAGATTATTTCATGTGACATACTAATATGTACTTTTTTGGTTGACCCGACACCACTCCTTTTCGTTTTACTCTCCTCCTCTATTTTTTGAATAATTTAAATACATATGTTCACATATGTTTAAAGTACCCCTAATTATTAGTTAGAAATTGTTTAATTATCGGAAATTATGATTTGTCAAGAAATTGAGTGCCAAGATCTTCACCATCGGGAATTCGTTCTTGCACTTTCCTTTTTTGGATAATTCTCCTATATGAAAGAATCGAAATACGTACGATTTCCCGAGGACGATTTCCCAAATTTTTTTTTTGACCAGAGTTATGCAGAGTTATTATTTTATTATGTACACATGATCATTAATTTCATTCAAATGAATACATGGAGTAAATAATACTTTTTAGAATGGGATTTAGTTAAATTTCACGAGTAATGAAATAAGTAAATGTTTATCAATTAAATTAATTAAATTAAAAAATTTTATGAATATTCCAGGAATAATTCTTGAACGGAATCCAAAATAGTTAGAAATATAATCATTTATTAAGAAGAAGTAAAAAAAATTTGTATCAGAATCATCAAAAATATATCGCAAAAATATATCCTATGGGGTTCGCCCAAAACCCTGATGCTAGGAATCCCGATGGTACAATATCTCAAATATCATAACCCCGAAAATCCCGAAATATCATAATCCCAAAAACTTTATTTCGGTATTTTGATTTTTGGGATTTTGAATATCGGGATATTATACCTTCGAGATTCTGAGCTTAAGAGATATTACATTGGAAATTTTACATATACTAATATATCCCCAAATTTTGCGAACATATTATGATAATTTTATTTTAAACTTTGATCATACTTATTTTTATAAAAATCTATTTATTATTAATTAACTTTCATATGTAATAACTTTTTAAATTTACGTAACCTACATAATTTTTTTAATATAAATGTCTTGGTAAATTAAAAATATATCTCAAACTTTACATTATAATTTATATTAATTTGTTATATTTGTATCTAAAATTTAATTAAAATCAGAAAAAAAATTGAAAGACTTTAATATGTACCATTCATTTAAATTTAGTAATCAAATATAATTCTTTTAGTGAAATTGTAAATAATTTGACATACATGTATGATAGAGATATGATTCTACATTCATTTGAAAGAGAAAAATGAGATCTATTTAATGATTAAAAATTACATGATTTCAATCACTAGTTGATGAATAAATTCGTCCAACTTATTAATCTCCAATTTTTGAGTTTAATCATTAATATCTCCACATGTCTTGATTCTAAAATTAGGGTAGGTTTTCTTCTTCCAAATGAATGTAAAAATAATATTTATTTAGTATATGTGTATGAGCAATAAAAAAATTAACACAATATTAAAAATTATGGAAGTACATGGTTTATTCAGAATTGCAAATCAATCATACAAAAACCTTTGTTTATTCGTATACTTTTATTTAAGATCGTGTTTAGAGTACTAAATAATTTGGTTACGGCACGATTTCCTACATCAATTTTCCGATATAACCTTTTCCCGATAATGATTTTCCCTACATTTTCCCGAAATCAAATTACGAAGAATTGTTTAGCTACAAAAGTCTTTACACATGATCAGACAGCAGATATATCATGTGTTTTTATATTACACAATTCAATTTATTTTATACGGAAGGTAATCTAAATACTAGGAAACGAAAACTGTTGTAAGTCCGGAGCGATAAAAAAGATAAAACTCCGATTCGTGATTTCATTGGATTACGTCACGTGATGGAAATAAACTCACGTGATCGATAATTTTTCATAATGTAGAACATATAGCTTCGCTCCGGAAAATCATCGGAATTTTTTAATTTTTTAGTTATATAAATTATCAAAATGAATTAATAGAAATAAAAATGAGTGTATATATTGGTTTAAGTATTTTATACTACATGATAATTTTACTTTCTGATCTTAAGAAAATCAATAAAAAATTTATATATATAAAATATTTGATCTGATTCTTATTTGCAGATTAAAAATCATGATTAAGGAAAAAAATAATAAAATTCTTTATGAAATAATTGATTTGACTTTTTTAAAAAAAAAGCTATTAGAAATAAAAGTTTGTAAGGCAGCTAGCAATACTGTAAATGCAATTATATTTTTGGATCCGGAGGGTCAGATTTAGGTCGTACTCAGATTTTTTTTGTTAAAAAAAAAAAATTGATAAACTGAATTTTTTTTAAAAAATAATTTATAGACAACTTTTTGATTAATAATATTATTGCTAAGTGAGATTATAATAAAGACATAATATTTTCATTTTAGTTGATCATGTTTATAAGATCACTTGCATTCATTGTTATCTAAATAATAGATTTTTTTTTTTAAAAAAAGATATTAAATAACACATTTCTGTTTAATAAATAATTAATATAGTTTGATTGCTTCTAATAGCATTATTATGAGGAGGTTGTTCTTTAAGAGAAAATTTCACTGTAAGTCTTAAAATGATTCCAGCTTCAAATACAGGAACTCATTTAGATACAGAATTATTCTTTGGAATAAAAAATATCACTTTAATTTCTATGGTTGTTGTATGATTAGCCCGTTTAGCACAAACCTTTTTTATAGGGTATTCAAAAGTATGAATATGAACAATCTCGCATAAAAGAATTTTATATTTGTTGGATGTCAGATTCTAAATTTGTTGAAAACATCTCCTTTATATCATAACCTTGTTATTTGAAAATATGGGAAAATTAATTTACAATATTTTTAATTTATTAATCCTTAAAAGTGAATACTGTAGAAATGTGTAATCATGTTTAATTATAAATCTTACTGAAGGAAGATTACTAAAGGTATTCTATATTTCTTTATTAAATACTCATTAAAAATATTAAATCAACGCCCTTAAAAAAAATATTTTAGAGAGATGATTTAATAATTACATAATTAATACTAAACGTGACATCAATGATTTTAAACATGTAGTAACTAATGAAATTACTGTAAATTTATTATGCATATTATATATCTTTATAAAAATTGAATATTATAATACTTTATTTTTTATAAAAAAAATTGTATTTGTATTGAAAATTTTAAATTATTTCCTTTTAAGTTTCTTTCTAATTGTTGAACTTGATCAGCAGTTCACATATCATCACCCGATTAGATTAGCTGTGGATAAAATTTTATGTGTCTAGTTTCAAATTTGTCAAATTATAATTATTAAATAAAACTATACAAAAAAACAATTTGTATTTAAAATTAAGTTGAAGTTAACATTTATAAATTCATTAAGTAATATTATATGTATTTTATAATAATTAACGTATGTTTCAAATGTTAATTCATTCTTTATTAAAAATAAAATAATATCTTGTTAAAACAAAATAAATTAACAACATTAATATCATAATATAAATAAATAAATTAAAAAAATGAAAAAAAAAACTAGCTAATTGCTTCTAAATGGACGAGTTTGTTTATTTTTATGTCAGGTGAAAGTCTGTATGATATTTATTATCTAAGATAACATTCATATCAAGATTCAATCCAACCATGAATCATCTTTATCATCAATCAAACAATGAATATAATTTTTTGTCTTTAAATTTTTTTTCAGTTTCCGTCATCCATTTTTCCATTATATCAGGATTTTGATGAAAAACAAATATATTGCGAATTACTATTACTATGTAGTAATTTTCTAAAGAAAGAATTATCAAGTCTTTCATATTCATCAATAAGTTCTGCTCCAAATGTCAAAAGTTCAAGATTTCCATCTTCTTTTACTTTATTAAATGTGTCACTAAAAAATTTTCATATTTAATAAGACAAGAACTAAAATAATATATGCTATGAAAGCAAATAACTTTAATGGACAATAATTGTAACCACTCAAATTAATTGTATTTCAATAGTATGCGGAGAGTATAGCATCCCATATTGTGTCAAAAGGATTTACTGGAATTTCTCCTGTTAATTTTAAATTAGTAGTTCCATTATCTAATGTGTAAGTTGAAGCTGATGGATTTAAATCAAGAAGTGATGGATGTCCAAAAAGGACAAACCTATTATTAATAAAATAAAAAGTTAATTTATTTACATAATTAGTACATGAATGAAGAAATACAAAGAAAATTTACATTGAGTGTCCAAAGCCAATTGTTAAAATAATCATAAACACAAAAAATGGTATAATCTTTTTTAAAATATTTCCAAAAATATATATATATACTGCCACTTCTGTGAATAATCGTAGCCAAAGGAGCTTGAGAAGACAAATAACAAGTTAATATTAACATAGCATTATTATAAACTTTTAGATAATGATTATTTGATTATTTTACATACCATTTCAATCCAAAGTATTAGAGTAGTAACCGTTAATAAAATAACAATTCCTTGATTATTGATTTCATTAATTTCATTAAATGACTTTACAAATATCAGAGTGAAACAATTATTCCCAACACAATACTGCATAGATTAAATATGTTAAATATATCTTTACAGTATTTAATTTATAATTTCTCATTTGCATAAACTCAACTATTAATAAATATATTCCAACATAATAAAATATTCCAACCACTATCATAAACGTAGAATTGTGCTTATTTTTATTATCATCATTATCACTTAAGTAAAGTTGAGAAAGAAATGAAAATAAAAATATATATATAATGTAAAATATTAAAGGTATCATCCAATATATTTTTGCTTTCCTCCATCTTAAAGTCATAACTGCTTCAATAAATGGATTATCAAAAATTATATCTTCACTTTCAATATAAAGAAATGATTTATGACCTTTATAATCTAAATTCTTGTAGCCAGGCAGAAGTAATATTTTCCTCAACCAGCACAAAATTGTACCAAATTTTCCTTCAATTTTTCCTTCAATTTTTTCAGCATAAGTTGTAAAATTAGGAACAATATAAATATTGAATAATTCTTCATCTCTATATTTTTAAAATAAATATCAATGATAAATTCAAATGATTTAGTTCATTTCAACAACAAATACCTTATCTTATTGTATTCAAAAAAGGTTTGAAGGTTTTGCTGGTATAAGTTGGGTAAGAGGTATATATATTTTTAAATTTAATGTATCTCCGATTATTTTAAACCTTCTAATTGGAAAATTATATTTCATTTTTCCAAAATAAGATTTATTAAAATATAAATAATATAATCAGCTAAATAAGCAAGAATCATTTTTAATAAAAAGGTGATGATAAATTAGTAAATTAAAACATTGTAAATATTATTATGTATAAATATACCAGATAACTCCGGAAGAATTTTTGTGACATTAATCATCCAGCTGCATTCCATATAACTTCTAGAATAATATTCTAATAGATATGCCAACATAACAGCATCTTGATCATAAATATTAGGATCAAAATACGCTAATGATAAATAATAAATAAGAAAACGGTAACCTTGGAAAAATTTCAAAGCTAAATCATCATTAGTTGATCTTAAGTACATATCTAAATTGTATTTCAAATCATCGTAATATGGATATTTATTATTTTGTGGTCTATGTAACAAACCAGTATCTTTAGTATTTTTCTTTTTAGACTCAACTCCAAACTGATTGTATTTAGTTTATTAAGGAAAATGAACGTGAATAAATTATATGCCATTAAAGGATATTGAACTTCCATAAGTTTCCAATTATCAGGGTATTTTTCGATGAAGTTCTTTAATAATGGTTATGATTTTACTGACAAATTTTTCACATTTTTCCTTAGAGTTAATACTAGTTTTTGTACGGTTATATACATGATTATTAATTTTATGCAGTGTTAATTCTGATAAATTCTGACATAATACATAAGTCAACTGTGACTAGGGGTCACGGTCTCGTAGTTGGCAACTTTTGATGATGATGAAACAAACTTAATAGTTCTAGTTTGTATTCACGTGATCAGTCGGGACGGTTAATGAAAATCCATACTAAATGGCATTATTAAATCCCGGTCATCGATTACGCTAATTGATAAAGTATCACGAGTTAAATAAATATGGATATATAATTCTATGATTATCAAAAAATCGTCATTCTCGATGATAACAAGTAAACCGCTGATGTCAAAAAACGGACTTCAGGATATGATAATATTATTTCTTTTTTTTTTGAGGTCATATGGATGGATTAAGATATGACAAGGACAATATAAAAAAATAAGACCATGATATCTATGGTGATTGTTGGTTCAATTCTACACATTGCTTGTAAAGTCAAATTTATTATGATAACATAGTGTTGGCAGAAAAACTTAACAAGATAAATACAGTAAGTGTCAATAATTATAGTATTATGCATTATGACACGAGTTTTCTTGAACTGAAAATATTGGTTTTATTATCTCTTTACTTCGTAGTTCTACTAAAGTTTCTACGGATTAGTTGCTATTCTAGATCTGTTGAAGTGATCTTTCTGAATACAAAAATTTTGTGAAAAGATTTCGTGAAACGGATTTGAAAAAATTGCTATTAACAATACTGTTTCTGAGATCATCTAAAACGGTTACAACGTCTGTATAATGATATTGTTATATTCATAACTCCTCTTAAGCATTGTAACAATAAATGCCAAGAAATTCAGCGAGGGCCTCGTCCAAATTTCTTGGCATTTTTACTTTGTAGGCGGGCCTAGATTATAGATAAAATTTATATGATCTGCTATTGAATTTTCTGATAGGGATCAGTATAGATGCATCGGTATGGTATTCTAATTCTGTTACTTTTTGTTTCAACTAAGATAATCAGTCATCACTAAATAAACAAATATCTTTCCAGATATTTCTTCGGTAGATTTATCACACTCTGTATTTATTTGTTTGTGTAGTATATAGTACTGTGAAACCTCAAACCTTTTCATGATCAATCAAAACAATAATCTTTTTTGATAAATTATTCTGTTGTATATCAAAGGCCAAGTAGGAGTAATACAGAAGATTTTTAACAAGAGATACTGCTGACTAGTATACGAATGTTAACCATTACATATACCATCAGTATATTCATTTTTTGACGATACGAAGAACTTGACATATAAACATTTTGTTTTGACGTTTGCGTTAAAGAAATGTAACATAGTTAGAAGATAATCAAAATTTAAAAATGACAGACTTCCATTTTAATACATCTCCAAACATTTTTACGCCATCAATGTCACGATACTCTAACCCAAAGCAGTATGATTTGGATCATAAAATATTTCTTCTTTACTGCAGTTGATATTTACCTTATTTTCGTGGTAAAATTAGGTTTGCAATTTTCTTGAATAATGGAAAACCCTATACTTACATTGTGAAGATTGTGGAGTAACGTATGTGATGCATGTTATGTAAAATGTTATCAGAAAAATTTTGGAAATTGGACTAGTGGTAATGATGATATTAACAAATTAATTCAAAATGCTCAGTTATTAGCAAAAGTGTGGTCAGTAACAATAGAATAGATACCTTACGAAAGATTATCTAATATTGAATATATTGCAAAAGGAGGATTTAGCAAAGTGTACAAGGCAAGTTTATCAAAGCCTAATAATTTTGTAGCCCTGAAGATATTAAATGATTCAAAAAAATGTTTCATTAGAATTTATGAATGAAGTAAGATAAATTTATCGTTTATATAATTCGATTATCCTTTACTGAAATATAAATATTTACTAATAATAATGTTTTTTATAATGTATAAATGGATGACAGGTTCTATTGCTATTCTTAGCATTTATGGAATAACTCAAGATCCCTATACAAAGATTATATTATGGTTTTGCAATATGCAAATGGAAATTTACGGAATTATTTGAATAGTTTGCATTATCGCTTATGGTTTGATTGGCACATCGGGTTAAATGTTTTAAATGGTATTACACATGGGATTAAAAATATTCATGCTAAAGGAATAATTCATTAAGATTTACATATTGGTAATATACTTTTTGACGGAGTTGTTCGTATAGTGATATGGGATTGTGCAAACCAGCAAACTAAAATACATTGGAAAAAACAGAAAAACAAGTTTATGGTGTTTTATCTTACGTTGCACTTGAAATTTTAAGAGGGCAAGGTTATACTAAAGCTTCAGATATTTATAGTTTTGGTATGCTTATGTATGAAGTACTTTCCGGATCACCTCCATACCATGATGTGAGCCATGATGTAAATTTAGCAATAAAAATCTCTCAAGGACTTAGACCAAGGTTTAATATTAAAGTACTTCGAATGTTTGTTCATTTAGTTAAAAGATGTTTAGATGTAAATCCATTAAATCGACCAACAGCAGGAGAAATTGAAGATTTGATAAAGAAATGGAATGAATGAAATTTTAACACACAAAGAAGAGATGGAGAAGCAAATTAATGAAGCCCTAGAATATAATAATAAATTACGAATTGGTAATGCATCTGCTGCCAGTTTGTCATATGAAACACATTCTGAGGCTATTTACACGAACAGATTACTTGATTTTGATAATCTTCCTAAACCAAAAAATTCAGATGATTATTATGATCAAAGCAATAATATAATAAGCAATGAATTTTCAGGTATCGATTAACAATCACTTATTTTTTGTATATTATGGAAAATACTAATATTCTATTTCGTTAGAATCTTTACAAATCAACATTTCTCAATTGAATATTAATGATGGTAGGTTTTGGTAATATACAAATTTAAAATATAATAATCTTAACGTTTAGTTCTATTTTTATAGAACAAATAGATGAAGACAAAAAAGAAATGGAAATGTCTCCATAATGATGAGTTGTTATTCTGGCAACACTTGATTTCCAAATAATGTTAATTTTCGTATCATTAGGTAAAATATTTGATAAAATTAATTATACGAAGTTCACGTGTCATTTTTTTCTTTATTATCACGAATTTCTCTTTAAACAGCAGAATGTCAAAATTATCAATAAACAGCAGAATAAATAAGCCTATTGTTTTGTGATCATGGTCTTTGATCTATTGATGTCATGAGCATCTTGATATTTATTTATTCATACTGCAACCTTTATCGAATTGTGTTTTAATGCTCAACTATAAACGTCTTGCCGCTTAATCAAACCCATTCATCACGGCACATAAATGATTGTTATCAAATAACATCTATACGGTTAATTAGATAAAATGGATACTAATCAATTTTTAAGAATTTTGTTTGTTTAAATTGCACGTAAAACTCAGAAAGCCTTTCACGGTTTGATTATTGTCATCTCAAATTTATAAATATTTACATTTGAACAACAAATTGACGATATTGTCAATCATCCCTCTTAAGTATTATTGTTTAATAATTGATTGCGAAACTGCACACAGAAAAACGTAAATGAGAATCAGAAAAATCTATCTAATTATTTTGTCATTGAAATTTTCTGAAAAAGGTAGATGCATTTGTATATGTAAAAATAGTTTATGTATATGATCATATACAGTACATAGATAATTACTGTAGAAATAAGAACGTTCACAAGGAAACTACATCCTCATAATTAATTTCATAGCGAATCAATTCTCCTTCTACGTTTTCTTCTACTTCTAGAAAAATGTCATCTTTAGTTGTTTTGAAGGAAATAACCTCGACATCGACATCATAAAGTTTGATTTTATGGCCAATAAGTTCAAACGCTTTGTTAACTGAAGAATGGGTTGGCTGTAAAATTGCAAAAGAATTAAAAAATGTTTTATCACTTCATGAGAAATAATTTTATATAAATACTTTTGACCGCTTCTCAATACTCCCAGGAACAGCTTTATGCATCACATTCAATGATTCTGCTTCGTCTAAATAAAAATCCATTTTAAGAATATAATTTATCATACATGACACGTCAAAAATTGCTTCCTCTAACTCTACCTTCAAATATTACACGATCTATTTTATCATATAATTGCTTCAGTCTAAAAAGAGATGACATAAGTATTCACATGAGTCTATGATTTCACTACGTAAATAATATGCAAACATACATACAAAGCATTAGAATAGTCGCAAGCAGCAAACGCTTCTTTCTGTGCAGTATGGTGTCCTCTTTCTTTTGTGATTTTTTTATATCTCTCTGCAAACAACAAGATCCTTTCCTTTTGCTCTTTAGTTGCTCTATTATAAAAAGGGTGAACCAAAAAAATTCGACCAAAAAGGAAAAAATTATAACTTAGGATTAAATAATTTAAGCATTTTTCCAACTGTTCCTGACGTTGGTAAAGCGACTTGAACAGAGAGTGCCAACTAAAATTACTTACTTTATTGGATCAAAGTTTTTAGCCTTGCACTTCTTTGGATCCAAGTATATTTTGCCATATTCGTTAGTAGTCAAGCAGGCATAATAGGCTTCACATGTTTCCATGGTGTCTTTTGTGAGGCTTATAAAGTCTTTCGTAGAGTAAAATATTGTGTTCAGTACAACATGGCCAGTAAATTTTTAGTCATTAAAATGACCCATACTTACCAGGTGATTCAGCGCGCGACATAGTTTTCTTTTCTAATTTCTTATTTTTAAGTATACTAATTTCAGTAATTGAAGAAGTTAAACTTTTTTGAAAATTGTTTTTAGGATATGTATTGTCCTGAAGAGATTATCAATTTTTATACTTGAAACAAAAGAAACAAAATCAAAAGGATCTGTATATAAATAAAATTTAACCCACGTGTCCGGCGGGTGACGAATAGCAACCGTTATAGTATATATGACCCGGAAAAAATACTAACATCGCTTTATTTTATTTATTTTATTAATATTTATTATTAGCAGATATTTTTGATATCTCCTATGTTATCATTATTCGTTTGTGTGTATTACAAAATTTAACTTAATATTCTTATTAAAAAAAAATTAACTGGTTCTACATGAAACACTATTTTTTCTATTAATTCTTAAGAGCTTCTTCAGTCTTCTTTGCGCATCTTGATCTCCTTGTTCGGCAGATTTTTTACACCAATAAATTGCTTGATCAACATCTTTACCAATCCCTTCTCCATTTTCATACATTACAGCAAGATTATATTGAGCTGTACTATTTCCTAAATTTGCAGCTTCTAAATGTAATTCAAATGCCTTTTGCTTATCAACATTAGTTCCAATTCCATTGTCATAACAATATCCCAAATTATTTATACCAGACGCATTTCCTAAATTTGCAGCTTTTTGATATAGTTCGAATGCCATTTGTTCATTAACATCAGTTCCAATTCCATATTGATAACAATATCCCAAACCATTTAGTCCATATATTTCTCCTGAGTTTGCTGCATTTTGATATAATTCAAATGCTAACTGTTTATTAACATTAGTTCCAATACCATTGATATAAGAATATACCAAATTAATTACTCCAGATGCACTTCCTAATTTTGCAGCTTTTTGATATAATTCAAATGCTTTTGGTCTATCAATATTAGTTCCAATACCATTTTGATAACAACATCCTAAATTGTATATTCCAAATACATATCCTAAATTTGCAGCTTTTTGATATAATTCATACGCTTTTCGTTCATCAACATTAACACCAATTCCTTTTTGATAACAATATCCTAAATAATTTATTCCTCTTGGATATTCTTCTTCAGTTAATTTCTCAAATAATTCAATAGCTTTATTATAATCTTTATCAACACCACTTCCATAAACATAACAAATACCAAGATTATATTTAGCTATATTATTTCCTAAATTTGCTGCATCTTTATATAATTCAAATGCTTTATTTTTATCAACATTAGTTCCAATTCCTAAATAATTAAGATCCCCAAGTAAAACAATAGAATTCGAATTATATTGATCATTTAATAACCAATTATAAATTTCTTGTGAAGTCATATTATGATTATTAAGATAATTAAGAATTTTCTGTTTTTCTTCATCTTCTACTTTATCAGAAAGATCAACCAACTCATCAACTATTGTATTAAAATAATTACATGATGTTAAAAGATCAATTCCTTTCGTATTCATTTTATCAAAATTTTGAATTAATTGAGATAACTCATCATATAAAGAATGATAAGTATTTGAAGAAGATTCTACATCATTATTTTTATTAAATTCTTGATTATTTGGTAAATGAATTTTTTTATTATCCACCTGATAATTTTTTTCTGTTTTTGTAATAATTGATTTTAATTCATCAACAACTTGGTTAATAGTTGGACGATTTTCTGGTTCGCCATTCCAGCAGCCTAAATAAAAAGAACATACGAATTTTAATAATTCAATTATCAAAACATAAAATTGATAATAACTTAAAAATATACTTACGAGTATAAATTTTCACATAATTTTCAGGTGTACCAGGAATAATTTTCTCTCTAAGACCTTGTGAAATTTCTACAGCTAAATCGATATCATATTGTTCACCTTCAATATAAAAAGGTGGTTTACTACTGGAGATCTCCCATAAAAGTACACCGACACTATATACGTCACTTTTCTCATTTAATGTATATAATTGTACTGTATTGCTATATTTTCGTCTATTAAATCTTTTCGGATCAATATAGGGAATTATACCATATAATTTCGATTGTGAATTAGATGCTTCTTCAATCCTTTTTGATAAACCAAAATCTGCCAATTTTATGGTATTTTGATGAACCAATATATTATTGGGGTGCTATTATACAGGAAGCCACGAACAAAAAAAAAAAAATATTAAATCAATAAATATTTGTTATTAATTTGACGATTGAATAATTGGATAAATTACCAGGTCACGATGAACAATTCCTTCATCATGCAAACATGAAACTGCACAAGCTAATTGATATGCTAAATTGTATTTGTCATCCCACGTGAGATTATTGAAATGTTCCTTTAGATAGTTACGAAGTGTACCACTGTCAGCGTACTCCATTACTAGCCAATACTTATTTAATTGATCATTGTAATTTTCTAAAAAAAAAAAAAAAAAAAAAATTTATTAAATAATATTTATTTTTATTTTCAAATTTGAATAATTATCATACCTGAATCAGATTTCGTTATCCCATAAAAACGAATAATATTATTATGAAAGTCTACTTCTCGTTGTAGTGTAAGCTAATCAAATAATTAAAATTTGATATGAAGTTTAGCTTTTAATTTCTACGCGCCCGCGCAAATCGCAGGACGTTTCATATAATGGATAACAAATAGTAATTTTAAAAATTATTCTCAGAATAATAATATTATTAATTGTATAATTGTACAAAATTCAAACATTTCTTACTAATGGAACATAGTAATAATCACATTGTACCACAAATCCTTCTAACTCTAACCTTAAAAAAATCATGTAAAAACATTATTTCATAATTACCTCATGAGCAATTTCTTTAACAGCAGCGTCATCAGGTTTAAAAAAATGTTTTAACGCAAAATATTGATTTGAATTTTTCCAATTTGCACGATAAACTTTTGCGAAACCTCCAGAACCAATTTCTTTAATATTACTGAAATTCTTGAAATCATAATATTTAAAATAATCCTCAGAAATGGCTACTTCAATCCAATTAATCCATTTATTAGAATTATTGATAATTTCGGACTCGATATTATCAGACATGTTGTTATCACCATAAATAATATACTATAGTTTATAAAAAATTAAAAAATGTTTCGTTGTAAAAAATGCAAATTTTTTTACAACGCAAAAAAAGTACGTATGTCGACCATAGTAATGTATTTGGTGTGCTGATCAAAGGATCCGAACTTTTTACCCCTTTTTTAACTAAGCTCTATAAGTTTAATCTTCTGTGTTTCTTTTTCAATTAATTAACTTAAAAAGTCAACTTAACAACTTTGACGTCACTTTTAGCTGATCTTATTATATATAGATTAATAACAATCTTGTACTCTTTTAATAGTGATGAACATGTGATAAATATTTGTACAAATTTAGCAACAATGGTCAATGACACAGCTTTTGGGGGAGACTAAACTGTTATATAATAAAAAAAAAAGGAAATTTAGTCTTGCAAATATGGTATTCATTAACAAAGCCACCGCAATACGAAAAAAATTCGTTGTCGTTGAATAATCGATGATCGACAATATTTGAATAACCAGGAATTATATAATCTGCATAATCGGAATAATCGGAGTCACAACAATATATTCCTTTCTATGTTATATCGATAATATCAGTACAATTTGACAAGAAAAAAAAAATATTTTTTAAAATATCCATTTTAGTAAATAAATTTCTTTTTCTATTATTTCTATTATTCATTAATTACCGAAAAACGATAATATGGATAATCCAAACGAATTAATTTTAAGAAGGCTATTTTCAAGAAATACATTAAATGTTATGTATATAAACATTTCAGTAATGAACATTTAATAATATTAAAGTGAAGTACCCGTAAGAATTTATCATCCCAAGCGAAAAAAAAAAACCAAAATTTATAATAAAAGAAATTATGTGCATATAATACATTTGTTTTTATGATTTTTATCATTTATTTATTTCACAAAAAAATTCGGTTCTAAGTGTATCATTTATTAAAAAATTTTTTTTATTTCATAATCGATAGATTACTTTTTATTATACGAGTTTGTTCGTTATAGTCGTTACATCATCTAATACACAAATTTCGTTCGCTCATCCGTTCGGGATTAAAAATAAATTATTAGCCGCAGTTTGATTTACTATAATATTCAACAAGCAAACATATACAAATGTACATACCTATTTTTCACTTAGATTCCTTTGATCGACATAAAAAGTAAAAAGGTTGAACAAACATATGATTCAGGTTATATAATGACAAAATAAGAATTGGCGTCAATTTGTGAAACGTTTTATCAATATATAAACCTTTTTTTCTTAAAAACAAAAAAAAAACAAAAAAAAAAAAAATTCTCTCGAGTTATCTAAGCTATAAAAATCGAAATGCAAAATCTTGACGACAATAATGAAAGTGATTGGATTGAAGAAGCAATCACAAAAGAATATCTTAGATATTACGAATATAAAAATTTTAGTGAAGTGAAAAAAATTGGTGGCGGAGGATTCGGAAAAGTATATCGTGCAAGATGGAAAAATACTGAACAATATTTTGCATTAAAATCTTTCAAAAATTCAAATTCAGAAGATCCAAAACAAAACGAAATCACCATAAAGGAAATTGTTAGTGAGGTAATTTTAAAAAACAAGGAAAAATATTAATTTGTATTTCAATATTTATAGAATTAATTCAAATTTATTGTTTGTGATTTAGCTTAAAGCTCAACGAGATGTAGATTTTCATAATAATATTATAAAATTTCATGGTATAACCGTATCCGAAAAAGGTATATTTAATAATGCTGGGTTTTTATTCTAGATTTAATATTAACAAATGAAACCTTTTCTTTATAATTAGAAAATAAAACGAAAAAATATTTATTGGTATTGCAGTTTGCTAATGGCGGATCTCTTCGAAATTATTTGAAAGAAAACTTTGATATGCTTTCCTGGAGGGATAAAATTAACTTGGCGTATCAATTGGCTGGTGCTGTGTCTTGCTTACATGATGAAGGAATTATTCATCGTGATTTGGTATTTATCGAATTTATCTTGAAACAATTTGTATGTTTTGTTCTTATTGTTTTGTTATTTAAAATATATTCTTTAATAGCACTCCGGCAATGTATTAATCCACCAAAATTCCGTTAAATTATCTGACTTCGGCCTATCGAAAAGAATTGAATCACTTAATACAAAATCTAATTTATTCGGTATATATTCTTACATTGATCCAAAGAAATTCAGTATAGAATCACCATATATTTTAGATGAAAAGAGCGATGTTTATAGTATTGGAGTGTTATTATGGGAGATATCAAGTGGTCATCCACCATTTGAAGATATAGAACAATATGCATTGATGTTAAAAGTCTTACAAGGCATTAGAGAAAAACCCATTCCGGATACACCCACTGAATATGTTGATCTTTATACTGGTATGAATTTCAAATGTTATTGAAGCTTAAATATAAATTAGTCTAACAAATTTAAATTTTCTTTTTTTCTTAGAGTGTTGGGATGGAGAACCAGATAAACGTCCAGTTATGAGTGAAGTAGTTATTAGATTAAAAAATTTTATGGATGACATGAATAGTGAAGATTCTCAGCAACAACTAAATCAATATTGTCAAGCTTTGATGTACAAAAATGGAATACGTTTTAATAAAGATCATAAAAAAGCTTTTGAATTATCTAAAGAATCGGCTGATGGAGAATATTCGGATGGAATGAATATGGTAGGAGAATGTTATTATGAAGGAATTGGAATTGAAGAGGATAAACAAATGGCTTTGGAAATGTTTAAAAGATCTGCAAATTTCGGGAATAGCGCAGCTAAATATAATCTTGCTCGCATGTATAAAAATGGAGAAATTGTTGAGAAAGATGATAAAAAAGCGATCGAATTATTTAAAAGTTCAGCTCAAATGAGATTTTCGGATTTAAAGAATATTATTGAACAACATAGCGATTTAGTTGATGAAAATGCAAAACAAAAAGTGACAGATTTAGGGAATAAAATCAATTGCATTGAACTTGGCTTAAATTTTGATGCTGGTAATTATGAAAAAATCTAAATCAAGACTAATAGCTAGTTTTATGAATTAGTTTCAAATTATAAAGGGATCGTTTCCGTGTTGTTTAATTATGTAATAATATTTTTAATGTACTACTTATATTAGCACAACTTGATATATAAATAAAATTATTTTTGATTTAAATTATATAAGTTTGAATGTGAATTATAAGCAAACTGTCTTTATATTAAATCTGATTTAATATTCCAAGGATATCATAATTCCAATGTCAAGTAGGGATGTTATTTATATTAAATAACTGTTAATTTATCGCATTCAAGTACATTAAATTACATATTTTTTCTTCTTTATATATACAATTATCATCAATTCATTTAGTGAATTTAATTGTTCAATTTATTTATTATGGTTAGTGAATAAATTCGATGACGTTACAGTCGTCACATGTAATTGGACATGTGATTCATCATAGAGATAGGTCAACCAATCATTTTCAAATTTAACAAGTAACAGGTTAGATCAGTGGCTTATAATGACGATATAGGTAAAATAGTATAAAAAAGTAAAAATTAGTTTATCAGTAAAATTTATGCGAAAGAAATGATTAATATGAAACTATTTCATACCAGAATTTTTAGTAGTCCATGATACAACTGAAACATGCGCACAGTTAACGACTAAAGCTACATTCAAAATCAGTGTAAATACTAATCCCATTATACTTTTCAAATAAAAAAAAAACTAATTTATTCATCTAATTAGAATTATTTATTTCATGGGGAGTGGAAATAATAGGGTTTCCCTCCCAGGAATAAATGGGTAATTCCCTGGAGCATTGTCACTCATTAAATTAATGTGATTAACTATTTTTAACTATTTTAAACAAGTATAAACTCAGAAATTTTCAAAAATTAGTACGAAGTGCTACAGGGGCGCCACTTTTATTTATTTTATTGTAAAAATAGTATAATTATATGTAGTTCTTTTTGTGTGAAAAAAAAGGAAAAACAGAAAAAGAAAAAAATAAACATATATATATATATATATTTACATATTGTATATATTGTGTAGTTTTTTTTAAAATCGATTGGAAAGTAATTGGGAAGCTGGAATTTTGAAAATGAAATCTACAAGCTTCTTTTTAAAATTATAGTTGATAATGTACGATTGTTAATGTACTTTTCGCTAATTTACAATGACGATGTACAATAACACTTCGGACTTTAATTATGCAAATAATATTCCTTATGACATGTAACACAATTTTGATAATATAAATATCTTACCTTTAATCCCTTTTTTTTCAATTTTTTTTTTTCATCTCGACTTCTTTTTTCATCTATCTTCTCTCCGTATAGGTCTTCGCCCTTTTCTTTACTTTTTTTAGGTCTATCTTCTCTCTGCCTAGATCCTCTCTTTAGGTCTTCTATTGGACCCCTTTTCTTTGCGTCTTTCTTTAGGTATGTGGGTTGGGAGTGTGTGTTTGGGTGTGGGTGTGGGAAGGGAGTGTGGGTTTGGGAGTGGGTTTGGAGTGTGGTTTTGGTATGTGGATTTGGGTGTGGGTTGGGAGTGGGAGTGTTTGGTTTAGGTGTGGATTTGGGTGTGGGTTGGGAGTGTTGTTTTATCTTCTTTTTTTCGTCTCCTTTTTTTTAGGTCTATCTGTCTAATTGTGATACACGCTTTCGTTGTTGCTGTAATTGATGGAGAACTCCTGTACCATTCAAAAACGTCAGGAACCAAGTGAACCAAGTGATCAAGTGACCAAGACAATCAAATATATGAAAGTGGTCTGTCAGCAAAGTGGAGTTGATCTATGCGATTGTTATCGGGCAATTGGAGGTTACAAAATCAGAAGCAGTGTTCGGGTTACGTATAGTGGGTTTGCTGGGTTCTATAATTTATTCATGTTAATATTTTTTTAGATATTATATTATTTATTTAAAATATTTTAATAAATATATCAAATTCGAAATGAATAAAAATATTTTTAATGATCACTTCGATGAAAATAATCTATAGATGTTATTCTTTTTTTTAAAAAAAAATACCTCGGAAAATGATCATAGAACGGCTCTTTAAAATGTTCGATTTTACAAAGTGTTCCTATTTTGGTTATATATTATTAATAGTTTACTTTTAAATCAATATGCATATTCTTTAATTTGAACGATTAAAAGGATCTATTTTGCCATGATCATTACATAAAATGTTACTAAACGTATAAAAGCGTGTTTTCTTCATAATTTTAAAATATTCGTCAGAGGTTCAATTTTGTATGTTAGGAAAAAATGGAATTTTAATTTTATTCGTAAAAAACCAATGTACGTGCCAATGGATCTGCCAATGCAACTAAAGAATCACGAAGGACATCAGGCGAAAACTGGTTAAATGGGGTAATTTAATAATATAATTATTAGATTTTATTACAAAAACTGTATTAAAGACGCCATCATTATTGATAGTCTTATAACGGTACTTTCCGTTATTTGTATTATAAAATATTAAGAAATTTGTTGGATTTCATTTATAATGTAGAATAAATTTTTAATTAAAGAAGTAAAATAAAAAGGATAATTTATTTTAAATAAAATAAAATTTGTTGTCAATGATAAACATATATAATTTATTTAAATTTGTCTGCATTTCTTGAGATACGATAGATACAGATCAAATTATCATATAATTTCCTTAATACGTCTCTTATTATTCAAATTCTTTTTGCACTAGTAGTTAAATTGTAAAAGTATTGTACTGAAGTGATTGTTTAGTGAAAAGAAATAATTTAAGAAAAAAAAAATTTGTTATTATATTCATGTAAATAAGGCTTTGAATTTATTAAATTAATACACTCTAATATTCTAGATAGTAACTTGTGAATTAAGCAGAAGTTATATTATAAATATTTTTCATATTTCACATGATCATCGTAAAAAATATATTTTAAAATAATTACTTTACATAAAGTTTCAAATGTAGAATTCTTAATTTACTTTACGTAAACTATTCTTTATTTTTTAAAAGCTTTTCTAATTCATTTTGAGCGTATACATCTCCTTGTTCGGCAGACTTTTTATACCAATGAATTGCTTGATTTATATCTTTAACATTCTTAATATTTTCATACATCCAAGCAACATTATATTGAGCTACATTATTTCCTAAATTTGCAGCCTTCTTATATAATTCAAATGCCTTTCTTCGATTAATTCTAGTTCCAATTCCATTCTCATAACAATATCCCAAATTATTTATTCCAGATGGAAGTTCTGATTTTGCGGCCTTTTGATATAATTCAAATGCCTTTTTCTTATTGATTCCAGTTCCGATTCCACTTTCATAACAATTTCCTAAATTATTTATACCGGCCAGAAATTCTAATTTTGCTGCCTTCTCGTATAATTCGAATGCCTTTTCCTCATTAATATCAGTTCCACATCCGTATCGATAACAATATCCTAAACCATTCATTCCATATACATTACCTAAATCTACTGCCTTTTGATATAATTCAAATGTGTATTTTTTATCAATATCAGTTTCAATTCCATAATAATTAAATTCTCCAAGTAAAACTATAGAATTTGAATTACTTTGATCATTTATTAACCAATTATACAATTCTTGTGAAGTCACATTATGACTATTAAGATAATTAAGAACGTTCTGTATAAATGCATCTATATCTACTTTCACAGTAAAATCAACTAACTCATCAACAATTGTACTAAAATTACCATTAACACTTAATGTTCTTAATTTAGCAACTACATCATTGATATTTGGACGATTATCTGGTTCTCCATCCCAACATTCTAAAAAAATTCAGTGATTTATTAGATTAAAAAATTATATCCAACTTCTAAACATACGAAAATCGTACTTACTAATATAAAGATCAACATAAGCAGTAGGTGTATCAGGAATAGGTGTTTCTCTAAGACCTTGTGGAAGGTGTACTATTAAACCATAGGATGATAGATTTTTAAATGGTGGCTGACCACTTGATATCTCCCACAGAAGTACACCAATACTATAAATGTCACTCTTTTTATTTAAAGAGTATGGTTGTAAGCTGAATTTCTTTGGATCAATATATGGAACTACACCAAGTAAATCTGATTTTGTACTATTATTATATACTTCATTAATACTCTTTGACAGTCCAAAATCAGCTACTTTGATAGTATGTTGATTAACTAGTAGTACATTTTTGGAATGCTACTTGATAATAAATATATAAATCAATTAACATCATAAGCAATATAGAGTAAGTATAATGTAAATGAATTACCAGATCACGATGAACAATTCCTTCATCATGCAAGCATAATACTGCATTTGCTAGCTGAAGTCCCAGATCTAATTTATTACCCCAAGTAAGATTATCAAAATTTTCTTTCAGATACTCTCGAAGAGTACCACTATAAGCATATTCCATTACCAAACTGTACTTTTTCAAATCACCACTTGCGTTTTCTTATTAAAAATAAAAAAAGTAATTATTTTAGATTATACTAATATTATATATATTGTCATTTAAAAGTTCATTATACCTCTTGTAATGCCAAAAAAGCGAATAATATTCATGGAAATCTACATTACGTTGGTGTGTAAGCTGAATCATAAATAGAATTTTAAATTAAATTTATAATAAAGAGATATATGCATATTATATTGTTTATTACCTCGTTAACAACTTCTTTAACTGTGACTGAGTTAAAATTACAAAAAGATTTTAATGCTAAAAAACTATTAGAACTTTTCCAGTTCGCACGGTAGACTTTTCCAAAGCTTCCAGAACCAATTTCTTCAATATTGTTAAAATTTTCATATTCGTAATATTTAATATGTTTTTTACTGATAGCTTCTTCAATCCAATTAATATAATAATCATACATATCTTCCATAACTGTTATGGGTGTAATAGATTCAAAATATTGTTGAGTTTGTTGAATTCTTGTTGCGAAAATTAAGTTTGAACCTTAATAAGCCTCTTTATTAATGACTGGCATGTAGTGTGACGATTGCCGATCTACATTATACAGTAAATGTGATATTTTCCACAACTCCGAATTGCATCTTTACGCCAATCGATAAAAGCAACTTTGAATCCAAATAAACAAATAAATGGAACCTTAAGATTCTAATAGGTTTATGGTAATACGGTCAGACCTCTATGTACCGATATCCTATGTACTGATAATTCGCCTGTACCGAAATTTTTCTGTCCCGTTTCACAATTAATAAAAAAACCTCATTGTACCGATATTATATATAGTTTCACGATATAACAATTGTAACATATACCGATACTTTTCTTTTTTTTTTTTTTNGTATTTAGTTAATTTTATTAGTAAATATAACGCATCATAATACATAATAATTATAACGACAATACATTGAAATTCACTATCATTCAATAATGAATCCCTTCATATCAAAGCCAACGGTTTATCTAACCGAGGCGCGAATAAGCGTAACCAAAGAATTTCTAAAACTACTATATCTATTATACTATATAAAAAGAAAATTATTTGTCGAGCTATCGTTAAAAATTTCAGAACGACTGAATACCTTGTTGTGTCGTCTTCTAACAAAAGCTAAAAATATATTTGACTAAATCACTTATGATGCTAATCTAAACTATCTAAAAATTATTTCTCAAACTAACTATCCTAAATACGTTACCGTTATTTTCCTATTTTTAATTATTTTATGACTATTTTAATATGTTTTTTTTTTTTTTAGTTTTCTAATCTTTTTCATCGTCGTATATTCTTGATTCCATCCGTTAAATCCAAATTTACCTCCATTGATTATGTCTTCTTGACGGAGCGAAGCGTGTAGACGGGCCACTTTGTTGTTTCCACTCCATACGAAAACTATTTGATCTTGAGGCGTCTCGTTTATAATCCGATCATCTATTAAGTTCTTGCAATTCTCCATTTTCATCGATGTAATCACATTCTTTCTTTATCCACAAGCTTTGTCCTAGATCATTGTTCTTTATCGATTCGTTTATTGCGTTCATCAAATCCATTTCCTTGATAAAATATAAAATAATAAAGCGCGTCCCTTTAACTCTAATGATTTTTCCAAAGAAAGCCTTGTAGGTTTTTATATATTCTTTTATCACTAGTACATCGTCTTTCTGAACATCAGAATCCAATCGTTTGACCGCTTGCCAACGAAATTTTTCTTTAACGTTTCTATAAGATAATCGCGAGTCAAACATTCTAATAAAATATTGTCGACCATTTCTTGTTAAAGGCACGTTCACGCCACCCTCTTTGTATATCTTTTCGTATTCATTGCTGAAACGCAGCGTCACTCTAACGGTCTTGTATTTATAACATTTCTTAGTCCTCATGTATTCCACAAAACCTACATTATCCCTTAATTGCTGAAAAATTTCATCGTCGCTCCAATATGCTGGTATATCGTAAAACGTGATGTCACGTGACCTATCGGTAAAATGTTTTTCCAGACGATCTTTATCGTCATCGCCAATCGCTCCTAACTCGGTTACGTAGATCGTCCCATTTTTAACCTGTTGTGCTCGCGCCCTTTTCCTCTTTTTGTTGGGGCGTATACCGATACTTTTCTTTGCCCCTTTATAATTAATACACAGTAAGATGTACCGATACTTTACGTTAACTTCAGCCAAATTTATAGTGTTGGCCAGAATTAATACCAGTGTAACCTAAAGGTTCCATCCAAGTCACATGACATTTTAATATTACTATTTGGAGTTTGCATAATGCTGGCAAGAATTGGATTTTGGCCTGCATTATGATTCACTGATGACAGTATATGTAACGATTTTCAAACATTCTATTTATTGTTCAATAAGATTAGATGTAATTCCAAAGGAATAATTCGCAATAATTTTATACTCACTTTTGTAAATTTACTATTTGTGTTTGGTATAGGATTCTCTCTTTTACCATCATGAATTTCAAGCATGATTTGGTAATCATTGTTTTTCGTTTCATAATCGAAAGGTGATTTACAGCTTGTCAATTCCCAGAACACTAATGCCAAACTGTACTATATGTCAAATTTTTCGGGTAGATCACAAAAATCATAAAAAATTTAGGATCCATGTGCCACGTCTAGTAGATACTTTATCCCCTTGCAGACGTGAGCATCCAAAATCAGCTAATTTTATCTCTCATTTACGTATTAAATTAAATCTAGGATAAAAACCTCAGCATTATTAAATATACCTTTTTTTGAAACGGTTATACCATAAAATTTTATAATATTATCATGAAAAACTACATCTCTTTGAACTTTAAGCTAGATCGCAAACATAAATTTGAATTAATTTTATAAATATTGAAATATAAATTAATATTTTTCCTTGTGTTTAAAATTACCTCATCAACAATTTCCTTTATGGTGATTTCGTTTTGTTTTGGATCTTCTGAATTTGAATTTTTGAAAGATTTTAATGCAAAATATTGTTCAGTGTTTTTCCATCTTGCATGATATACTTTTACGAATTCTCCGCCACCAATTTTTTTCACGTCACTAAAATTCTTATATTCGTAATATTTAAGATATTCTTTTGCGATTGCTTCTTCAATCCAGTCACTTTTATTATTGTTGTCAGAGTTTTGCATTTCGACGTTAGTAATTTAAGATACAAACTTGAGAGAATTAATTATCTTTAGAATAAAGATTTTTATAGTTGATCAATGATTGTCACCAGTCCTTATTTGTCATTTTATGGCCTTTCATCGTATGTTAATGTTGACCAAAAAATATTCCATATAATGATAAATGAGGTATGTAGAAAATGAAGATAAATCTATTTTATTTATAGAGAATAAATTTGATCAATGATTGTCACCAGTCCTTATTTGTCATTATATGACCTTTCATCGTATGTTAACTATAAAACGTAGCACAAACTCCATATAATGATAAATGAAGATATTTTATTTATCTTAGAATAAAGATTTTTATATCTGATCAATGATTGTCACCAGTCCATTATATGACCTTTAAACTTTATGTCGATCAAAAAAATATCCCATATAACGATAAATGAGGTATGTAGAAAATGAATAGGATAAAGCTTTTTATATTTGATCAATGATTTTCACCAGTCCTTATTTGTCCTTTCATCGTATGTTAACTATAAAACGTAGCACAAGCTTTATGTTGATCAAAAAAATATCCCATATAACGATAAATGAGGTATGTAGAAAATAAAGACAAATCAATTATTTTTAATCTGTACGAGATGAAAGAATGAAATTTTTGTATTGTCAAAATTATATTGCGTCATGCATTATACCAAAGCCGATTCATGGAAGAATCAATTTTATTTAACATAGTGTTACCTTAAAAAAATGAAATTTTATATATGTTTATCATTTTTGACCTAAATGACCATTCATTGTTATATTGTATTTATTTATATTTAGTATCTGATTCAGATTCAGATCCTGATTCTGATACTGAATCTGAAGAGGGCTGTAATTTTTTTTATGAATTAAAGTTAAATAAAAAAAAAAGAATGGCAGATCACCTGGTGACTAATAGCTGATTTGGAAAATTTTGTAGATCAGCATATTTACCGATGACTAATTGGCAACTTTTTCTGATCATAATAATCAGTTGTTAACCAGATTTTGGAAATTTTATAATTGCAAAAATTTATCAATTTTATAAATAAAATAAATAAATTGCTATTATTTATTTTTTTTATAGTAAATAAAATAGAGAATGTAAAATGTCACCAGTGGTGATTGTCACCTTTGGTGATTTTCACTAGTCTGATTTCTTGAATTTTATAAGATTAATATTAAATTAAATAATCAACTACACATATTACACATTTATTTTATATGTAAATTTGCAAGAGATCTGTCTAAAGGTCAAAAAGGCTGTTTATCAGATAATTTTTGAGAAAAATGCAAAATTTTAATTTTTTAATTTTTTCACTTTACTAAAAGTTTTTTTTTTAACAAAAATTTTAAAATTTTGTCATGGTTAACATCAAATCAATATTTGTTAACATATTTATTATTTAAGTTAAAATTTTGCGATCAGTATTTTTTAACTCCGGCCAAATTGTAATTTTTGGCCGGAATTAGGCAATCACCGATGGTGATAATCACCACTGGTGAGATTTAGCAATACCTAATAAAATAATCATGAATAAAGGCCTAATCACATATAATTTTCAACAACTTTCTGGTGGTGACGAAGTCGCCACACATCAACTTAATCTAATTAAAAATATAACGAAAAGGTGACTACCGCATACTATTTATAAAATGAGTAATCATTACATAATCTCTGTGCTAAAAGCATAACCACAAAGAAAGTTCCACAACGCTTATCTCATCGTACCACTAATCATTGTTTTTTTTTATTAAATTATTTTAAGATACACAAAAATAAGACAATTACAATTAAAAAAAATTTTTTTTTTTAACAACCTAGATATCAAACTAAATCGACTTTTCTTTCTTCTTCATTTTCATTTCTTCCTCTAGTAAAAATTTCAAACGGGATATCCGATACTAATCCGGATTAACGGTTAACGGGTCGGAACACTACGGCCGATAACAATTAAGGCTCCGAAGTTTATCCTTTTTTTTTTTTTTTTGATAAAACACAAAAACAGCACGTAAAATTCCCAAAAAATTTGAAATATTAATTTGATTGTGCTTTTTAAAAAAATAAAAAATAAATAAACATTGTCTAAGAAAAAAAATTTTATCTCGCTTATTGAATTTTACTATCTCTGAGGCGCGTGTAATAAAATTTAAATAATGAAGTACATCTTAGATACAATATTCTTTTTCATGTAATGTGATGCGTTCTATGAAATCAAGATGACAATGATTAGACCGGGCAAAAAAATTTTAAGAATAACGCTATATATGTAAAAATTTTTTCATATGTAAATTTTTTTACGGGCCAAAAACTTAAAATCACGTGATAAAAATTTTTTCTATAAAAAAAAAATTTCCATTTTTCGAAAAACTGACCCGGCCGGGTCACGAGAATCTAAACTTTTTTTTGCCCGGCCTTATCAGGAAAAAAAATGGGATTTAGATATAAATTAAAACGGTCCCAAATTTTAAGTGGTTTGATACAAAAGGGGTAAATATAAAGTATTAAATAAAATTAATCACAATTTAAATAATTTTAGTAACGTATTTTCGGAAAATATTATATTTTGACGACTGAAATAGTCGAATTTGCGTTATTGTTTAAAAATGTTGTCCATTCAATATTCACACGTAAAATGCGACCTAAAGATAGTTTTTTCAAAGTTAAAATGTAGTTAATGTAGTTTAATTCAGAGGTAATTACGTAATTCCGCATTAACTACACAAATATAATAAATGCTTGGTTTGTCAATATTCCTAAATAGAAATGATTTTCATCAAAATGTCCATAAAATAAATTACGTTCTCCTCTTTTGAAATCTCCTAATTCTCATACCCTCAGGCTCTTCTCCTGACAAACTGATACCCTTTCAAAGTTCCCCCTCTGAAAATAATATTTCATACCCTTCATCGAGATATTTCGTCTAAGACCTTTTACATTATTCCCTATGTTAATTAAACCCCCATTTCTAAAGTGATCTTCATTCCTATGTCTAAAAATAAAAGTAACAAGAACATTACACATCCCGGAGTTATGATAGGTCCTTTAATCGAACATGTTTGATAGTTTAAGGTCATTCCGGACCTCATTAAATAAAATACTATAAAAATTTATATACTAAAACTAAATATAATGCTGTGCCTCACAAATAATAAATTCACTAGGTAAGTCACGGTATTACATTACTAAGATCATCCACGTTTCAGAAATTTTGCCAAAACTCATGCATCTACGTACATGTAAATGTTAATAATGTGTCAAACCATTAAAATTTTTGTTTGATCCGAATTTTACTTAATCCGGCTCGAACAATATAAAATAGATACAAATTGTTAGCCCAAAGAACGATTTTTTGCATTATTATTTGTTTTACGTATAAATTCTATATGATTGAGGATGTCGGGGCTTTCAGAGCCTCCTTATATATATACACTACCCGGAAAAAAGTCAGTAGGCAACCGTAAATTTCAATAATCGTTACGAAAATATCCTTCTAAATAAAGTTTTTTTTTTAATAATTAACCTGTCCTTTGTGTAATAAGTGAAGTTGATCATTGAGTTGAATTGCACCTACTCTAAAAATTACATGAGCTTCTGAAAAAAATTGATTGTAATATTCTATAATTTATTAAATAAATCAGATTTTTAACGGCAAGTATTTAGGTATAATATAACATTAAAAAAATTTTGCTTAATTTACGCTTCATTTTTAAATAAACTGTTTATCAAAATTTTTAGCATATTATTGCAAAGTATCTTCAAAATCAGCGAAATAGTCTGTAAGTTACACATATTTAACAAAGATGACTTGCACCTATTAGTTTTTTACAAGATATTAACTAAAGAACAAATTATGAGCTTGAGTTCTGGTTTCAATAAAAAAAGTTAGAAATAATAATCAAAATCTCAAGTTTTCATAAAAAAAATTGGGCCGAATTTAATTCATTAGTTAATGCTAAAATTTTGGTAGTTAATTTGGTAATGATCGATAAATGATCGGCAAATTCAGTCAAATGAATATAACTTGTTGATCATTTCATTGATTTTGATGATACTTCGTAATAATATGCTAAAAGTTTCGATAAACATTTTTATTTAAAAAATGAAGTATGGTAAAACAAATTTTTTCATGTTACGTTATACTCAAATAATTCCATTTAAAATCTGATTTATTTGATAAATATAAAATATTTCAATCAAATTTTTCCAAAAATTCATGTAATTTTTAGAACAAGTACAATTCAACTAGATGATTAACTTTACTTATTATACAAAAGACGGGTTAATTATTAAAAAATTAAACTTTATATAGAAGGATATTTTCGTAACGATTATTGAAATTTACAGTTGCCTACTGACTTTTTGCCGGGTAGTGTATATATATATTTTCGAAAGAAAAAAAAAGGAATAATTGTAAAAGCAATTTTTACCAAAAAAGAAAATAAAGAAAAAAACAAAGCTGGAGGTCATGCGTTTGTTTGACCCGACCTCTGGGTCTCGGGATTCTGCTATAAATAGTGCAAATAATAAAGCTCTATCATGCGGAAGTTGTTCGGATTGTAAAAGGCAGCGAACTTCTGCTTCGTGGTGCAAAAATTGTGATATTGCAAATTTGAAAGAAAAATTTCACAGTTGGACCAGTGGAAACTCTATGATAGATGAATTCATCCAATATACCCAATTAAATGCAAACGATAGCACAGACTACCTTGAATGGATTGAAAATTTGATCAATTCGATCTGATTGAGGATACTAATAAACGAGGCGCTTTTAGTTCGATTTATTCTGCAATATGGATGGAAGGACCAACTTGGAATTTGGGCGAAGAAGCTGAAGTATGGACTCGTAATGGTCCAATTAAGGTCATATTAAAGCGATTAGATAATTCTCAGAACATAAATCAAGATTTTCTAAATCAAGTAAGTATATAAATAAAAACGCCAAATGGCTGAAAATTTTTGTTATTGGCTAATCTTAATTATAAATATTATAAATTTAAATTAAAGTTTATTAGTTTTATTTGAAAAGTTATGCAGATGTTATAAATGTCTGCAAAGTGGATCGCTTGCAGGTTATTTTGGCATGACTAAAGATCCGACATCGTGTTACATGTTCGTTATGAGATATTATGAAAATGGAGATTTATATTCGTATCTTGAACGAATCCATGTGAGTCCTTTGCTGAAGAGATATTGTAGATATGTTATGGGCTATATCAGCTGGTCTTAATTTTATTCATGAACGTGGTCTCATCCACGGCGGGCATTTACATGGAACCAAAGAGTCTGACATATATAGCTTCGGCATAATCATATGGATGTTATCAGCTGTTGTACGCCCTTATTTAGATACAACTTATACAAGAGATTTGCTCAGGATCGAGACCGAATATAGTTGGTGGAACTCCACCCATTTTCACTAAATTAATGTTACAGTGTTTAGATGCTGATCCATCCAATAGACCAACAGCATCTCAACTTTGCGAATATTTAAGAAATTGGTTTATAGCAATTTGTGATGACCCTGATCCATCCGAATTATCAAATCAATTTATTGTCGCAGAAGCTAAATTCGCAAATAGAGATAATTTAAGATTTAATATTATACCGTGTCATGAAAATACCATTTATTTTAGTCGCACATTATATTCCATATATTAATATTTTATACTGGAAATATATTAATCGAGAATTGTTCAGGAACCAGACCGAATATGGTTAATGGAACTCCATCAATAGTAAACCATCTCAACTTTACGAACGTTTAGGAAATTAAGTCACGGCAATATGCGACGATCCTGATCCGTCGGGTTTATCTAACCAATTTGACATCTGAAGAAATTAAATTCTCAAAGCTATATACTACAGACGACCATTAAATTTTTCGGAATCTTTTCTATATTGAATAATGTAAAAGGGAACATACATCGTTTATCGTATCGCCAATTCGTTATCATTCATCTTCTGCATGAATATAAATACTATCGTTAGTAAAATTACGGTAAGAAAAAATTGGCCTTTATCGAAAATACTTCCTTTATTTCCGTTTAATGCGGTTCGTTATACTAGAAATGCCTTTCCTTTGTTCCTCCGAATTTCGTTTTATTCGTTCTTGTAAAAATCAAAAGATCACAAACTTAAAATCGTAATATTAACAATTATGGTAAATTCTCATCGGGTGTTGTTATGTAATTAATTATGTAATCCACACAATTTTTTACGAAAAATTTGATAACTTTTCGTTCACTCCGATCAAGAGTAATAACAATCTAAGCCAATTGTATGAATATACGTCAAAATAAAAACGTGGAAATATTATTTGTGATACAACAAGGTTAATCATAATCTGTTATGATTTTATATCTCAAAAGACAATGTAAACTTAGCCCATATTGTTATCATTGTTAATATTGAATGAGCTATCCTGCTTTTATTGTTCTAATAAAAATAAAAATAGATTAAAGTTTCGATTATATTTGTTAATCTTTACTATTTAAAATAATTAAAATACCTATTAAAGTTTAAAGTTTCGAATATCTTTGTTAATCTTTACTATTTTAATAAATAATCAAAATATCTATTAAGTTATAATTCTTAATGCACGAATTTAATGTTACATTAAATATTTATATTATTTATATCATTTTATGTAGTACAAACTTCAGGGGTTATCCGATATGCATAAGTAAGCTTTTGTTTTTTTTTAAATTTATCCTTTATCCCTAGATTTGAAGTTGTACTGTCTTGTGCAGGACCCCATTATGTGACAAATACTCTGTAAATGGTAATAAATTTGGTTTTTTGGGATTTGAGGTTGTGCCGTTCCGTTGTGGCGTAACGGAAAAGTATTTCATGCAAAGTTCAAGTATAAATTTTAGTACCTTGATATGATATTTCTAATGGATAGAAGTTCTTGTTGGAATTCTTTATATTTTAAATATTCCAATTAATACTTTTTTTAGGTCAACGAAATGATATCGAGATAGTACTAAAACAAAAATATTTAAAGAAATTCAAATAAAAAAAAAATAATCCTTTTATTTAAACAGACACGATAAAACAATATGAAGTACTTATTGTATTCAAATGGAAGACATGTCTGTGTCAAAATCCGCTATCTTCAGCGAATGTTATACAATTAGATCAGCAAAATTTTACTTTTTGCAAAACTTACCAAATCAATTACGATGACTAACTAAAGTTTTATTATATCATAATTTAATAAAAAAAGCCAAATGGCTTGTTTATTTTATTTCCGTTGGCTAATAACTCTTACAGAGCGGATGACTAATGCATATGATGTATCCCCTCAAATATCTCTCGTGATCTAAGAAATAAAGTTTATACTAAAAAAAAAAAAGGAAAACAAGCGATAATATAATTTCTTTTTTTTTTTTGATCTGAAAAGACAAACTGCAATTCGTCGGATTTATTTCAAATTATTATCAATCTTTAGCATGAATATTTAGAAAATAATTAGTCTAGATAAAAACATCATTTCACAATTATAGTTCCGTTTAAACACCGGTTCGTTACACCGGAAATATAACTCCTTGTTTTTTTTTCAATTAAAGTGTATAAATATTATTTTTATCTCCTCATAAAAAAAAATCTGGAAAAAACTCCGATAAATGATCATTTTCCTGTTTATAGAAGGAGAATTATTTAATAATCGATTATTTGAAACAAAATATTTTAAAGTTGGTATAGTCGATGACGTTTTAGGGGTTGAATTATGTGGTGCATTAAAAATGTTATCGCTATAGGTGCTGGTATAGTTGATGGTTTCACCTATCAATAATTTATTATAAAAGGGAATCCGAAGAAACTCAGCCACGTGATCTTTTTTCTCAAAATTTTTTATAGGGTCTGGAATTATTTTCTTTTGTATATAAACACCTAAAAAAAAAAATTCTTTATTTTCCATTACATTTTTATGTAATAGATTACTCTTCGAGTAGTGTATTTTTATATTTTAAGAGATATACTGTAACTGACTATTTCACATAAAGACTATGAAATTTACAACAATCGTTAATTCCGCCATTGAAACTGGTGAATCATTTGATTTTTCTACTGCAATTCAACAAACTACGCCAAGTCAAGAATCTTCAATAACGTCTCATGGAAATATGACCGGCATGTCTAATACATCATGTAACTTTACTACTTTCGATGTAGCAGCACATATTTTGCAAGTTTTAAATTATTTAAAGTTTTATTATTTTTCGCAAAATGATGTCAATTTTTATCTTGTAATTTGTAAAATCATTTTACAAGATTCTTTTAATGATCATAATCATTATGATCATGAATTTTTTTACCAGCATCCAAAATATCCCTCTATAAGATATCATGTTACTTGTAAATTACTTCAATACTCCTTAGTGGAAAACATTTTGAATAATGAAATGTGTGGAATGAATTTTGATATAAAACCATTATCTCTAGATCAAAAATTCATTCTTGAACATAATTTGAAACAAAAACTTTATTATCGAATGCTCTGTGATAGAAACACGAATTCACTTCATAATGACGTTGGGAATCATGAAATGATAACACAAACTGTTTCATCAATGACAGACAATCAAAATTATATTGATAGTGATTTGCCAAGCAATGATCACATTACTCACCAGGATACAAATGGGTTGACAACTCAATAATTTTGAGCTTCGACAAAAATATTTTCATATTCGTATTACGTATTATTCGACTTTTGGTGTAAAAAATTATATTAAATTGGCTTCTACCAAAATTATTAGTAAAATTATGTTAAGAAAAAATTGGCCTAGATTAAAAAGAAAAATATTTTCCGATTCTTTTAACGCTGATTATTATAACCGAATTTTCTTTTTCTAACTTCGTTTTTTTTTTCGTTGTCATCATGTATGAGGAATCACACTTAATTTCATCATAATGTACTAATAAATATTTCTCGAGTATTGTTATGTAACTAATTATGAATTTTTAAGATTTTAACACAAAATTCAATTAAGCTTTAACAAATTTTATTATTTATTAGTTTAACGAGAAATCCTTATTTACTTTTAATATTTTTACTAAGATTGTTTTAAGTTTTTGAATATTATTAAATATACATATAAAATTTAAATAGATATTCAATTAAAATAATTAAATCAAATGAACTGTAAATCAATATCTAGGATATTGCATTATATGCACGAAAAATAAATGCTTTATTTTTTTCAGCCAACATAGTTGAGATTTCGATTTTTTTTTTGGAAATTATGTGGCTGGTTTTTTTTATCAAATTTAATGAGTCTAGAATTTATGATCGACACTTTGATATACTCGGATGGAATTCCGAATTCCCATAAAAATATTTTTTTTAAACAAGTAAACGCAAAAAAAAAGAAAAAGAATTTGTTTAACTTCTTAATCCATGAAATACAAATTATTCATTACATCTAAAATGTTCTATTCATAGAACTTCATAACGTAAACTGTTCTTTGCTCAAATTATGTCTAACCAGAAGCTAAAACCTGGTTTGAAACTGGTTTGAAAATTAACTTTTAATGAACTTCTTATTTGAGGACGAATTAAAATTTAAAACATATAACCTTTGACCGCCCATATGACCTGGATTGTCCCGGTTACGGAATCATCCGATTGTAACTTCTTTCATGAATACTTGTAATTTAATATAAAAATTACTTTATCTTATTATAAGTTAATTACGGTTAAATACCTTTAAACTCGGTAATACTATAATGTGCACGATTTTGTAATTTTGCATCATAAGATCGTTCACATGATGCGATTGATGCGTGTGTTACTATAATAGTGCTGATCATCTGTAACAGGTAAGACAATTAAAAACATTATTAGTAATTTGTAGACTGAAAACCTTACCAATTTGAGTATAGAACCATGCTTGAAGTTTATTTATTTTTTATTTTTATTTTTTTATAAAATGGACCAAGGGGAAAACGCACTTCTTTCTCGTCCTACACAAAATTATAATATGGACTCTTTAGAATTGATAATATAAGTCCTGAGACCCCTCTTCTACCAATAACTTCTTCACCTCCACAAAACCAGCGTCGTCATTGGTTGCGTGGTGTTGCGTGGTGGTATTAGACCAGTTTTAAGTGAAATAAAGGTACCATTAAAATTTTGATTATATTTACGTGATATACTGTACTATTACTTTTTTACAGTTTATCCTTATCCTTGTATTTCTTTTCATTTTTTTGACTATTTTTAAATATAAAGCTACAAATGATTATTCTGATATTGAATTTAATTGGATAATGATTTTAGTGAATTCAATGTATTATTAGATGGTACTCACATACAAAATTTTCTGATGGTCGATGAACCGAGCAATTATTAAAATGAGCAATAGGTAAAAATATATTTTTATTTAATGGATTTCTTTCTTAAATTTTAAAAAAAAATACTAAAATATTTTCTATGTCGATAATTAATAAATAGCTAATGGATATAATGCTATAATTGTAAGTGATTACGATAATATTGAAGGTGCTTTAGAAGCCCAAAGAATTGCACGTGAAAAATATAATGATTCGATCACTGTAATACTGGCAATGGAATATAAGGTGAGTTGTGTAAACCAGCAAATTAATGAATTAGAAAATGCAGAAAATAACGTATATGGCGTTTTAGCTTATTTGGCTTCTGAAATTTTAAGAGGACAAAATTATACCAAAGCTTCTGATGTCTACAGTTTTGGCATAATTATTTATGAGGTTATAAAAAAAAAAAAATTTAATTCTTAATTAATCTTAATTATATTAAAATAAATTCGTTTAACTAATTATTAATAACATTAACCTTTTTTTATTTGACTAGTTCCTGTCGACTCCATATGCAATTTATTGGTATAAATGAAACGGTCACCGTTTCTCCAGAAAAAGGTTAGAAGAAATAATAGATCATGTTCATAAATTAGGTGGTTTGGTATCTGTAAATCATATTCTATGGATCAACAGTACTGAATGAGAATGTCAAATTGGAACGTTGTCAGGTCATCCTCCAAGAGAGAAACTTCGAGATATGGTATTCGTTATTTAATTAGAATCTAAATTTGTGTAATAATTATAGTAATTTTATTAATTTAAAAATATGATTTATTATAATAGAGAGTTGATGGATTCGAAGTAATTAATGGAGATACATTTGACTGGCAAACATATTTGTTCGTACAACAAAATAATATGTTAATGCACATACGAAGGAATTATGACAGAACTAAGGGCGATGAGAACAAGTTTTTTATTGATGCAACAGGAACGAGACCTAGAGTTTATCCAAAGAAGAACCTATCTTATTATAATTTGTTGCCAATGAATTTACTAGCAGATTATTGGACATCATTTTATTCTGAAAGTAAAGGAATGTATAGTTTTCAATCTACTTTTTGTCATCAAAGAAAATTTGTTATGCATTGGAAAGTTATTTTTGGTTTAGTCTCTGGTGTTTGATATTTTTTACGCTATGAAATTGGAAGTATTAAAGGGTATGAATATTTTTCTATATGGAAATTGAAAATTAATTAATAAATTCCATCCGGATACAAAAATTAACAACCGATTTTATCCGGTTAATCTAGTGTATCGTTTCCTTTTTCATTTATATGTAACGGATCACAAAATCATTAATATATAAAAGTCTATATATAAATTGACATGATTTTTATACTTTACGCAATTTATTGTAATTTGTTTATGTTACGTGACTTTGCTAGTTTGCTTTATTTAGTTTATACTATGAATGAAATAAGACAAAACTTATGCAAGGTCAATTTAGGTGTTTAACTAGCGACAATTAATTTCTAATAGGTATTCATTCTTGAAATGTTTTAAATGTTTAGTTATAGCATATAATAATAATATAATACATGTTTTGAATATTGAATATTATGGTATAATATAATAATAAATAAATAAAGAGTGTTGATTATGAAATACAAGTTTCAACTTAAAATTAAAATATTTTAAATATTTTTTTAAACATTATGATTCTGTTAAAATATCCGTTATCAAACCTTTATCTTAAGGTCAAACCGGATTGAACCCGATTAGCATCCGGATTGGAAATCCATTAATGGATGTCAACCCGGATTTGTATTTTCTTACAGTTGTTTTCATATTATTCGGGACAAAGTAAATTTTGAACCCGACATCCGGTCCGGTATGTCGGATATCGGATTGTTACGTAAACGTACAGTAACTCATATCATCATATGAATGAACTGAGTTATTGATTCATATCATATTTATGTTTATATGTTAATTATTAAAATAAATGTTTCTGGAATAAAAATTACATTGAAAATTTAGTATACTTTCTTGTGCGTATATCCAAGTGTAAATTCGGCATGATGTTGAAATACTTAGACTTCTTCACATCCAAAGTTCCATTTCTGATTGAAGTTCATACAAATACCAGTCATCCCTTTCTTTAAGCAGAACTTCAAGGTATTTTAGGTCATTAAAGTTGGAAATTCGTGGTCTACCTAATAAAGGAAGCTTTTCTACGTCTATGTTTTCTAAAATATTGCATGCGCGAGGTGTTTAGAAATTTGCCGAGTTGTCAAGTCTTCTAAAATTTTTTCAATTATTTGCCATCTAATATGCAATGAAAGCATTGATTTTGTCATGATAGCATTAAATAATGATTGGTTGTATAATTGAACTTGTTTATTTTGTTTATTTATTTCACCATTGATCATTAGTAAATCATGATTCACGTGACAATCCGACATCCGGCATACCGGACCGGATGTCGGGTTCAAAATTTTACCTTGTCCCGAATAATATGAAAACGATTTACCCTTTAACAATCCGGGTCGGAACACTATAATAAATATTGGGAAAATAACGATAATGAATTGCGTAAGGACATATTCCCTATTTGCTGATCGACTAAAACCTACATGTATTATAATTATAAGCTCGTATTTTTCTTTGTTCTATGAACAACCTTAATTAAATGTCCAGATAATAAATATTACGGATGTATCAAGCTAAAATTATTGATGGGCCAACATTAAGTAATGCCGGCTGGAATTATCAAAAAAGGAAGGAATAATTATGACAGACCAATTAAAATACAATATCAGATCACATGACATGACATTATTATATGTGTAACGTAAGATTTTTGCTATCCTAAAAAACTAGTTTGTTTATTAAAATGTCTTATATGATAAACAAGTAGATTGTAAAACGCGTTACTATTTTTTTTTTTTTTTTTTAAAAAAAAAAAAAATAAA